CTGGGGCCTCCGGGACGATGCCGATCACCCCCGGGAGGCAGCAGAGGACGGACAAACACTTGCTCTCCGGGATGTCTTGAGGGCCATCCGCTTTTAAGGGGCTGGTCCGTTGTCAAAACCCTGGATGCAGGACCGGGCCAGGTTGGGGGGGGGCTTTTTCTTTAAACAAGGCACAGTTTATGCCTTTACCCCAGAGACCTCCCTGTATAAAAGGTGACGGGAATCCTCCCACGTTTAAAAGTTCTGTCCAGTAATACTTTAGTTTTAACCTTCCTGAGTTTTTCCGCTCGATGGGTCAGAACACTTTTTTCCCCTCAATGTCCTGCCAGTTTATAACTTAATTATACTGCATTTCTTTCTTTCTTTCTTTCTTTCTTTCTTTCTTTCTTTCTTTCTTTCTTTCTTTCTTCTTCTTCTTCTTCTTCTTCTTCTTCTTCTTCTTCTTCTTCTTATTCTTATTCTTATTATTAACTATTCTGGGAAGGCTTCTGGGTAGAAGAGGGGGTGGGAAATAGCAGAGCAGAGGGGGAGGGAAAAACGTACAGGGTAAAATACATTTTATGAAGACATCAATGCGTGATTCATGGGGTCAGCGTAAGTCAGAAGCCATGGGTCCGTGGGTACAGAGAACTGCTGCTTTGGAGGGAGGGATAATGCGGGGAAAGATGGGGTGAAGGGGCCAAGCAATACTCACGGCGGGTCCTGGGGGTCCCGGGGGTCCCTCATTTCCTTTCAGTCCTGGGCCTCCCTGGAGAAGTGAGAAAAAGAGCCCTTAGCTAGAAAAGCCCATTAAAAAAAATCCCCACTGCCCAAGCCCCCAAGCTACTTTTTTTGCCGTTTTTCAGGTGTGGGTTCCCTGCCCTGGCAGGGAGGGCTGGACTAGATGACCTGGCAGGGTCCCTTCCAACTCTTAGAAGGCTAAGATTTCTCTCTGCCTTTCACTCTCGCCTGTTCACAAGCCCGCGTGACTGCGAGTTCTTGACTACGACTCTCCACCTCCCGGGTGAAGTGGAAAGATAATAAAGA